CACTCAATATTATGACAAGGGTGTGAGTGACCGTTTGAAATGCCCCCGGTCAAGATAGGGCCGCAATTGGTGCACTAGGCGAACCTGGGCAAAGGCCCCCCTGGTCACAGCCGACAGATGGTGTTCCAGTGTCAGCTGCGAATCCAGGAGGAATTTTCTACAGTGTTAGCAAGATATCCCAGTGTTTTAAATGGAGAAAAAATCCTTAATCTGCAGGATCATAGCTACCCATCACGTCATAATATTGAGTGACATTCTAGAGTAAGATGTTCAGAGAAACATTTTTAAAATACTTTGCCAGGTACATAGCGGTTATTGGAAATATTCCAATGAATCTAAAGGCATAGTTTGTTGAGTTTTTAAAGAATTTTGCTTGTGATCAAAGTGTGCTTCTAATTTTGGATTCAGTACATACTAGATTTGTGGTTGTGGTCACACAATGCCCATAACTGTCTGAAGTAATATAGTACACTGGACTTCAGCAACAAATACAGCTGAATGTCTGCAGTTTCTGCATTTAGTATGGGAATCTCCTTGCTTCTTTGCATAGGCTGGAGCAGACATCTCTGGTATTGCATGTGAAAGAACATATGTGTCTGTCATTTGGAGACAGTTGCATGAATGTTCCTTTTATACATCATTTTTTAAAAAACTTTCTGTCTAGGAAGGGCCTCAGCAAAGCACAGAAAAGGAAGTCAAATCAACCAATCAGCATGCAGGGTGCGCACCTTCGCAAAACACACAGTTGAGATTTGGAAGGTGTTTGTGTCAGCCTATTTCAGCCATCTGCAACCTCCACTTATTCATCAACCAGCTTGTGAGCACTATGGATAGTTGTAGGCAACTCTACACCCACCTTTAAACTGATCAATATTAGAACAGCTGATTATACGGAATAGGCTGAAATGACTGGGTGTGTTGTGTGTGAGGAATTTATTCAGAAATGAAGTTGAAGTGCCAGATGTAAAGACAATGTCATGACTTCACCGACTACTAATTTCCCTTCACAAAAGCAAAACATAATTGTGGTTTTCCTTCCTTAACATTTTTTTTAACGTTAGATACTTCATCTTTGAAATAATTGCTATTCAGTTATTGAAAACATTCCACTCCGGCAGCAAAATATAAATATGAATAAATAGAAAACCCTGCTTTTTTTTTAACTGCTTGCTTCATCTTGATTTATAGATCATTTTAGACCGATATAATATACACAGTAGTTCAAAGGATAATGGCGTTACGGTATATTTTAAACACACACAGATTTCTCTGTTGACATATATAAGACTATCAGTTTGATCTTATTTTGAATTCCCTTTCATTTTCTTGTTATCTGAAGCCAAACTTGCTATGCCAGCTGTAGTCCTAAGCAGCAGCTTATTGTCTGACAAAAGCATGCAGCCAGTATTTTCACAAGGAAAGGAATTCTTTTTTCTGCATTTTGTGTCTGGCGGGACTAACCAACCTGAGGTAACTTTTACACAGCTTTTAAAACATCTTTCGGGAGACAGAGCTTTTGACACAGAACTTGGTCACTTCACATTTCCAGACAATCATCCAAGTTCAGAGAAAAAAACAAGCTGAGAGCAGAGGAATAGTTTTCCACAGGGAAACTGCACTACCTCTTGCTGAGTTAAATAAATAAATAAAATGGCTGTGGCAGACAGGTGGTTTTCTTAAATAAAAGGGCAAGTGAATTGTTAATTGTTTTTTAAAGTCAATATAACTTCTTACTCCATGGAGTCTGGGAAGCCATGCAAATGATTGAACGAACAACACTTGCCATGAGAAAACATTGAAGCGCATTGTCAATATAAGACGTGGAAGTGTAAAGCACCCTTTTTGGCAAGATGTGTCAGTGCTACCTATTGCTAGACTGAAGAAAGATTTATTTAATAGCTGTCCTTGAAGCAGCTTCTCAGAAAATGCCTGCCAAGACGTGTTTGCTTTATGGGTTTTGTGGTGGGAGTTAAAATAAAAGCATTGGGGAGTGCAAATAGGAACTTGAGATTTAAAAGGGGTTGAATCATTCTTCTGAAGAACAGATAAGAGGAAAACAAAAGCAACGAAGTAGCTGTAGAGGAAATATATGAGTCATCAATTTGATACAATAGAAAGTGGACTGATTTTAATGAGGGCAGCACTCAAGTGCAATACTCTTGCTCACAGGACTGAAAAATGCCTTAACTTTTGGTTAAAACGCCATGGAAAGAATCCATGGGCTGCAAATCTTTTATGTGAGGAGAAAAAAAAAAGTTATTCATGTTGCTCATCAGTCCCAAAACGGTTTGTAGTTTTGCTTACCGGTGGCATCCATTTTTGTTTTGTTTTTTTAGCACTTTCTGTCAGAAAAGGGTGGAAAATGTCAGCTTTTGTTAGAAACACTTGATTCCCTGTATTCCAAACCAGGCTTCAACATCTTCCATAACAGTGCTATTTTAGGCAAGCTGATGAGATGTTCTTGTTGGTTAACAGCACGTATGAATAGGGCTCTTTTGATGCAGTGTAACTCATATCACTCCTACACTCTGTTGCGGGTTCTAGCTGTACAGGGTTCATGATAACCATCTTGTTTTCTCTTTTTCTTGCTGAGAAAAAAAGTGTTTTTCTTTACAATTAACAAGGTAGAAAAGACACATATTTCTTCCTGTGTTTTCCCACAACAACAAACCTGTGGGGTGGGCTGGCCTGAGATAGCATGACTGCTCCAAAGCCAACCAGCCAGCTATCACTCCTAAGGCACAGGGATTCAAAATGTTTTACTACCAGTTCTGTGGGCGTGGCTTGGTGGGAGTGGCTTGGTGGGCGTGGCAGGGAAAGGATACTGTAAAATCTCCATTCCCACCTCACTCCAGGGGAAAATCCTCATTTCCTCCCAATCAGCTAGGACTCGGGAGGCAGACAATAGATGTGATGGGGCCAGTCAGAAGTGGTATTTACTGGTTCTCCGAACTACTCAAAATTTCCGCTACTGGTTCTCCAGAACTGTTCAGAANAATTTTGAACCAATCATTGTTTCCATTTCCAGTTCTCACTGTTGCTTCTTGACCCGCATATAGGTTTCTCAAGAGACAAATAAGATGGTCTGGTATTCCCATCTCTTTAAGAACTTGCCACAATTTGGTGTGATCCACACAATCAAAGGCTTTAGCAAAGGCAGTGAAGCAGAAGTTGATGTTTTCCTGGATTTAAGATTGTATTAAGATTACAGTGGTTTAAAAAAAAATAGCAGCAGCTTCTTGATAATGTTATGAAGCTTCATTTACTAGAATTTTCCATGTGCCTTTACAAATTCATTTGAACAGTGGTAAGATAATAATCAGTAGCAATAAACCAAGGATTCTGTAGAATTTCACTGAAACCAAGTATCATATACTTAAGATGTAGTTGTTTCTTTTTATATCTGACAAATGCTAGTTTAGCAGTTTCTCATTCTCTTTCCTTCTCTCTGTGAATTAGATGGTGAAAAGAAGACTCAAGTGATGATTCATGGAATAGAACCAATGTTGGAGACACCAATACAATGGCTAAGTGAACATATGAGTTATCCAGATAACTTTCTACACATCAGTGTTATTCCATTATCTGCAGATTGAAGTGACATCATGTTTGTCTGAGGATCAGCCATTGTTGGGGACAGCAAAATGTACAACTAAATTCAATCAAGCTTGGTGAGATTGACCTGACCAAAAATCTTTGCTCCTGCCAACTGAACAGACGAAAGATCCTTCATGTGATAACAGCAGTTGAGCTGGCCAAGTTTTGCATTAGCCCTTTTTTCCAATGTCATCATTAACTTTGAATGTGGAGCATGAAGGCTACTGCAAATCTTCTATTTTTCTAATGGTAAATATGAAGTGGAGAGCATGAGGAATAAGTGGAAATATGCACCACTTTGTTTCTTATTAATCAATAAAAGAGGTTGTTTTCCAAAGTTGTAATGACTTACCTTTAAAATAAAATCTGATTTATTCTAGAAAATTAGATAAGTATCCTGTAAAAATTAATGTGTAGTATCCTTTTAGAAAAAGATGGCATGCTAACGTCCTTTCCCTGGGGTTTCATACACGAAGTTTCTTTCCAATTTTATACTTGGCAACTGAATTTTTAAACAGCCACGTGTTTTGTATTGCACAAATTACATTAGTGATCCTAAACACATTACTAGCATCATAATCTTACAGGCATTATTATGCCTTAGTTCAAAATAATACTGTAACATTTCTTGCATAATTTACATATAGTGTGACATTGAATATGCTCAGATAAATGTCTTGAATGCATGCTGCAAGATGGTTGAATAACTGGGTTCTCTTATCAGCCGAATAGCACCACAGGTGGAAGGTTTTTTTCTTTTCATCCAGCAGTTTCCTATATGATCTACTACCTGCTCTGGCAAGTCAAAGAACAAGGTTTAGTGAAAGTAGGATGAATATAAGAAGGGAGGGAGCCCTGTTATATGGCCAGGTGTCCACTCATATGACACTGAGTAGAGTCCCAAACTATTGGACAATGTAATTTTTTTTAAAAAAATCAGAAATATATTGGTGTCAGTGAAGGAGGGGGTCATATGCAGCAAAAAAGTTTAACATTTCTTTGTAAGAAGAATTTTGGAAGTTTCAAGGGTTGGATTATTTTTTGGCTCCCAAAGAAGTAATGGATAGATGATACTGAACACATCTCAAATACGCTGAAGCCCTAGTAAGAGTCAAATGGAGGAGTCCTGTTTCCAACAATACTTTCTGACAGCGTAGTACAACTTTAGCACATTAGTTCTAAGCATCTAACGTAAAACAAGGTGGATAGATCAATATTATCATAGATACATTTAAAAAAGCCTTACAAGATCAAAGTTGTTTCATAATTTTTAATACCAGAAAAGTCCATTTTTAAATTATGTCTTGTGCTTCTGGCCCTAGTAGAGTTTGGGATTTATTTTTTATAATCCATAATTTAAAATTATATTTGGAAATATTAGAGATTTCTTCACATTTGTTTCAGAACTTTTCAAAAGAAGATGAAAGTCTTACTACTAGAGACATACTTTGATTATAATGAAGACTTGCCAACAGTAGGAATTGCCTCCTTTATTCCAGTAGTAAATAAGAGAAGTAATGTTTGGGAATATGAATGTATGCTGATTTTTTACCTAACTGCCTTGTATCATCTTCTAAATAAGATTTTTTTTCATGACTACTAGATATTATAAAATATAGAAAATTTTCTTGAAATAAAGTTTGCCATTCTCAGATGTGTTTGCTTTTTAATATTGTAATAGTTTAAAATGAATTCATGATGTTGAATACATTGAAAAGTAATACTTAAGTATAGATAGTCCTTGATTTGTGATTACAACTGAGACTAAAATTGTAATTGCTAAGCAATTGAACATGACAGGATATGTCATGTTATGAGGGCGTGCAAATCGCCCTCTTTCAGCGAACTGGTAGTAAACTAGTTAGGAACCCACCACGGAGTGGTGTGACAGTTATAACTTTGAGGATGGGTCGTAAGTCACTTTTTCCAAAGCTGTTATATCTTTGAACCATTATTAAACTAACAGTTGTACCTGCATTCCGTTCAGACATCAACATAATTTGCACATCTACAATTCTTTTGATAACTGAAAGAACAATGTACTACTATATTTGGAAATACTTGTGTCTTCTTTAACCCAGAGTGGTGTCCAGCTTTGAGCAAATGTGATTCGCTCAAGCATTCTCTCCTTGTACCTACATGTGCAGAACAGGAGAAATAATGCATTTGCTGTTCCAGAGACCACAATAAGAACATTGACTTGTATCTTTCTGATGTTCCTTTGCCTCCAGAAACTTTCATGATCAGTAGAACCAGAAGGTTCTACTTTGGCAAGTCTTCCTCCTTCCTGCAACTTTTCAGATCTACTTTTCAGATCTTTTGCCAGTTTCACAGCATTCTGTGAGGTGCCATATGAGATTACAGGGGAAAACAGGGAAGTTGCTGAGCTGGCTTATTCCTTGTACAGCTGATAGCCTCTTATTAAAAAAAACATTCATATCTGCATGAATCACCCAATTCAAAATAAGTAAATACAGCCCATGTTTACATGTATGAGCAACGTGTACATACAAGCATGGTCCAATTTTCATCATTTATTCCTAGAATTCAACATTTATCAATTCAGATCTTGTCCTCTGATATATGCAGGTTACACTGAGCAAATAGGCGTAATGAAGACATTCTTAACTGCATTTTATAACCACATTTTAGAATTTGAATTTGCAGCACCAGCCTCCTGCAGTTTGAAGTTCTTGGAATTCAAAAATAACATAGGTTACGCAATCAAAGCCTACATTTATCTTTTAAGGGACTTAAAGACTGTATATAGTTTCGCAGTGATATGTATCTGAAGATAAGGATTGCATTTTTGGCCTGTCTCGTTTGAATGTATCTTTCTTTTAAAAAAATGAACCATTAATAAGATTTAAGTTTATCAGAGGCTTACAGTATTATTTCTAGCCAAAGAGTAGAATATTATTTTGCAATTTCTATCTGAATTTTAGCAGCACAATCCTGGAGTTCTAGAGATAAAATAGTACATGTAACTATAAGCAAGTCCAATGGTCACTTTTTCAAAATTAGACAAGGTTGGTTATGTGTTACAAGTAGCTGTGAATAAAATAGAAAAAAGTTCCATTACAAGAAAATGTAATTCTTTTTCTGGTAATTTACGAAAAATATGACATCTGATTTCTTTCCATTCAGACAGTTCTTTTTATCAATACCTTCAAGTGGATGAAATAGTCTTGTGATGCTTTCTCACATATGTTCGTAGGAATGATTGATAAAATGGTCTAGTCAGTTCTCTTAACTGAAAATAGAGAAAACAAATTTTACAATAACTGTTCTTGTTCATACAGGGATATCTTCGATTCAAGAAGAACTGCACAATTACAGAAAATTATTCTTGATGAAAGAGATAGGTAGATCAGGTGGAGCTGCCGTACTCACAGTCAGTTCAAGAAGGTCTTGGTATCGTGGAAGATGTCAAATAATCAGAGGGCTGGTTTTTTTTTTAGTACATTTGTACTAGAGGCTAATTTCAATAATTAATTTCAAGGTAAGCATGGCCATATCCAAAGTGTCCAGTAGTGT